AAGGATGAATGAAAACAATAAACACCAGGAGGAAGTAGGAAAAGTGCTATTACATTATGGGATTGCAATCACTGTCACACATACAAATGTCTATGAATTGTTGAATGGAAAAATTGCTCTGCAAACTTCCACCCAAATCAATAAAAATATATTTTAAAAAATGTTTCCTTCTTAAACTTTAAAGAAACTTAATACGTCTTAATAATAAACCACAGAACACCATTGCTGGAATTTGTTTGGGATCATCTAGTCCTACAAGTTTCTTTGACAGAAGTGTTTAATGAATTTGTGTACAATAGTGAATGAGGCATGCATGAATGCATGACTAAGGTAGCTTAAGTCTAGACAGGTTATAAGACCTGGATCAAACTATTCTGTGGAACAATTATGTGTTATAGTTACTCGCAGCTGCAAGTTGGTTATACGAAAAAATCTCTCAGTTCTATTGTTTTGTTGCTTGTTTCTTTTTGGAATGTACGCACACAAAAGTAAATGTCAGAGCTTGGGAAATGTGATTCTAAATCCAATTTGCCCTGTTTTCCACCATGGAATTTATCATTGCTGTTGTGTGGTGCCATCAAGTCAGTCAGTTCCAACTCACAGTGACCCTATGCACAACAGAAGGAACACTGACCCATCCTGCTCCATGCTCATAATTGTTGTTTGAGCCAATTCTTGTTGTTTTTGAGTCAATTCATCTCATTGGGAGTCTTCTTCTCTTCCTTTGCCCCTCCACTTTAACCAATTATGATGTTCTTCTCCAGGGACTGATCCTTCCTGACAACTTAACCAAAGAGGGAAAGACAAAGTCTCACCATTCTTACTTCTAAGAAGCAATCTGGCCATACTTCTACCAACACAGATTTATTTGTTCTATTTATTTGTCCATGGTATTTTCAATATTCTTTGCCAACACCATAATTTAAATATATTGATTATTTTCCAGCTTTCTTACTCACTATTTAGTTTTTCATTGATTGAAAAATATCATAGCTTGGGTCAGGTACACCTTAGTCCTTAAAGTGATATCATCTTTGCTTTTTAATACTTTTGCAGCAGATTTGCCTAATACAGTTTGTCATTGGATTTTTTGACTTCTGCTTCCAGGAGCACTGATTGTGGATTCAAGCAAAATGAATTTTTGATAACTTCTTCTTTATATAATCCAGTTTCACCGATTATTTGCTTAGCATACAGATTGAGTAAGAATGGGGAAAGGATACAATGCTAGTCTACACCTTTCCTGATTTCAAATCATTCAGTTTCCCCTTGTTCTACTCAAATGACTGTTTTTTGGTCTACATACAGGTTCTTCATGAGCGCAATTGTGTGTTCTGGAATCCCTATTCTGCACAATGTTATCCATAGTTTGTTATGATCCACACAGTTGAATGTTTTTGACTCATGAAGAAAGCACAAGTGAATATCCTTCTGTAGTCTCATGGAGCATATCATATCTTCTCACAAAATTGGAAAATACAAATTTAAACAGTCTTAGAGTTTTGAAAATGAGATATGCTATTTGTGTTAATAGCAAAACTAGCTAATTACAATTTCAAAGGTGTTTTCTCATGTATAGTGTAAGATTCACAGGGTAGGCCACAAAATAAAACAACACAAAAGCACACAGGATATCTATTAGAACTCAACTAGGTATTAAGTCCATGAGAGCAGGAAAAAACCCCCATAAAAATCTCCCACTCACCTCCTCCCCCATCATAATTTGCAACAGAGCTACTTCAAAGGGAAAATTTGAGACGTGCTAAAAGTCTGTCACTGGCCCTCCACTTCTCTGTGTACTCTTCCTCTGCATCTTAATGTCCTTTCATTTTCATCGTAATAATGGCAGCTACCATCTATTGAGCACTTAGTATGAATCAGTCAGTGAGCTATTAAACTCTGAAAGATTACGTCATTTGTCTATAGTCATGTGCCAAAGACAAAATGGAGCTCAAGTATGTTTGATTCTGAAGCCCACATCAAACATTAGACTATATTAGTTCGAACGTTCACTAGAGTCCACTCAGGTATGAAATTCTGTCCCTCTCCTCCTACTGTAACCCAAAGGACTTCATGCTAAAAACCACCTGCCTCCTTTATGTCCAAACAGGACCAACCCCAAACCAAACTCACTACTGTTCAGAGGATTCGGACTCATACTGACTCTAAGGGACAGAGTGAAAATGTGCCAAGATTGTAAGCTTTATGGAGGAGTCATGGTGTGGTGCTGTAGGATAAGCACTAGACTGTTAACCACAAGACTGATGGTTCAAACCCACCAGTTGCTCCTTGAAAACCCTACACAGAAACCCTAGCTATGTGTTGGAACCAAGTTGAAAACACTTAACAACAACAGTCTTTAAAGAAGCAGATTGAGCCCTCTTTCTCCTATGGAGGAGCTGGTGGGTTATAACTGCCAACCTTTGGGTTAGCAGCTGAACGCTTAATCAGTGCACTACTAGGGCTCTTCCAACCAGGATGGTCATCCATTTATAGTAGCTAAGGAAGCTCTGGTAGTGTAGCAGTTATGAATCAGGCTGCGAGCCGCAAGTCAGCAGTTCGAAACAACCAGCCGTTCCACAGGAGAAAGATGAGGCTTTCTGCTCCTGCAAAGATTTACAGCCTCGGAAACCCTGTGCAGGGTCACTATGAGTCAGAATCGACTCCATGGCACACAACCACCACCACCAAGGAAGCTCTGGTAGCGTACTGGTTATGTGTGTGTGTGTGGGGGGGCTGCTAACCTCAAGGTCAGCAGTTCGAAACTACCAGCCACTGCACAGGAGCAATGATGAGGCTTTCTGCTCCCATAAAGATTCACCACCTCGGAAACCCAATGCAGGGTCGCTATGAGTCAGAATTGACTCCGAAGCATGTAACCACCATCAGCATCAATCTTCCTTAGGTACAAAGGAGGAGAGCAATCTGAAGTAATCGGTGGTAATTCTTCAAGTTTCCAGAGGTGGCTGCATTTTGAAAAGGGGCAAATTTGAGAGGGGTTTCAAAAAAGTCCATGGACAAATTGAATTAAAATAATGCTGTTTTTCCACAGACCTTTTCAAGAAATTACTGTAAGTTAACCTCCAAGTGGCAGAATTTCAGTCAACTAATAAGAGCAGGCAACGACAAAGATGGAGGCGGGAAAAGAGTTTAATTTTGGACAGGGTTGGAGCATGCAGGAAGATGGGAGGGCTCTCTTAGGCGTTTTCCTCAAGGTCAGTACCTTTAGTATAAATCACATTTTCACAATTGGCATTCAGTAAATTCCTGCTGCCTTGATGAAACCAAAGCCCAATGTTGGTAATGTGATGTTGTGTAATGAATGGCAGGATGGGAAATGGAAACCTCCAAACTTCTTTCAGGCCAGTATATTTTCTATTAGTTATCTAAGACCAAAATTACCCATTTATCTTTCTTTTCACTTTAAGGCCTGCCTAAATGGAGACAAAACTGATTAAATATGGATATAAACCCACAGGAATGTGGCAAAGCAAAAATTTCCTTTGCAAATATATGCTTCTCCAATTATTTCATAAAATAATTTAATCCATGTGTTTGTTTTGCAGTAACAAAAAAGAATCCATCCTTTACTGAGGGATTATCTGTTATCCCCACCTCCCTTCTCTCTATAAAATCCAGCAGCTGCATCTCAGTTTAACTTTGTTGTACCTAACATTTCTAAGAAGCTGGCTTTTCAATAGACATTAGAATTTTAGAACTCCTGGATTTAGTGAGTCTGTCCTTTGAGACCAGCAAAAGTGCAATCATAGAACAATAGGGGTCAATACATCCCTTAACAAGTATTCACCTTCTACACTGCTATCACCCATTCTTGAGGAAGAACTCAGAAGGTCAAACTGTTGTCAAAAAAGCATGTAAACAGATAAACTAAATGAAGTTAATGAGAAGACCATAATCAAATACTCCTGGGAAAGACAATTAGCTGGCCTCCATCAGAAACAGGACAAAGGGGAAAGCTTTGAACTTCTCAGAATTATGCAGTAGAAATACTAGTTTAAGGAAATTGCCCTCCAGGTAAATATTAAAGAAAAGTATTTTCTCTGGTTCTTCCCCCAAATATTTAAGAATTAAATGCACTTCCTTAGTGGAAAATTTAAGGATCCAAAGACACCACTGACCAAATAGCAGAAACCACAGTCTATGAAAAGAAAAACTGAAAATCAAAACCTACAATTCTGTTAATGAATCACAGCAATTTACAATCTTCTGATCTTGAAATTGTCCAAAGTTTATTAATGTACCTAAATTTAAACAAAACCATTCTAATTCAAGCAAAAACACGGATTCTTTTCTTATTAGGATGTTTAAATCCGAACCCATGCTCTGAACAGCAGCAAAATATGAGAAAGGAAAGTTATTCTATTTAATTTCTTTCTACAACTTCTCTTTTGAGAGGCTCTTTATATATGGACTCCATGGTGTCCACTGTGCTGAAAGGTGGGTAAATAGTGGAAGAGTACGAAACATAACATCTCACAGCTTTCTACCTCCCCTTCCTCTAAATAAATCGTTTATTTGAAACCGTTTTATATTCACTTATCAAATTAAGTATGCAAAGTGGGATTACCAGCTTTTCATCTTCCACATTTGCAGCATTATTGTAACCAGTCACTAATGATAATAATCTGGTTTTAATTAACTTCTTTTGAATGCAGTTGGCTTAAAAATAAAAGGAACTTGGGTTTTTGTTGTTTTTTTTTTTCTATTCGAATCTTATAAATATCTTTCGAACCTGCTTGTATTTTTTTTTTTTTTTAATAAGCATGCTATCATTACTTTGTTGTAGTAAACTTTAGAAAATGTCGAAATTCCAAAGGGCTGTTTTACAAACCAAAGGGCATCTTAGTTTTGGCAGACTGAGCGCCTCATTTCGACTTCTCTCTCTCCCTCTAGCGTTTGCAAAGCTCATCTGTTTGATTATCCAGTTACCTCACTGAACAAGAGCTTGCCTTAGTCCTGCCCATCTATGACATCACCCCCTTCTTCAACCACTGCGAGGTGAAGCTTTAACTTCAGAATTGGAGGTGGGCTGTGTGCAGTAAACTGGAATGCTCTCTCGCTCTCACTTCTCAGTGTAGGAGTCATCCGAAGCAGGACAAGCTCAGCCTGCAGCTGCTGTTGGCTTTGTGTGGACTGGATGCGGAGCTTGGGAGAGGGGGGAGGGCTTTTACTTCAGATCCCAGTCAGTGGAATTACAGCTATAGCGGCAGTATATATAGGATTGCTATTTCTCGTCTTCCTGGTAAGTGTTTTTCCATGTTTTACCTTTTGATTGTCCCAGAAACTTTGCTCGGTTACTTTTCTAGAATGATAGGACTTGCTAGCATGAGACATAAAAATAGGAACGTTTGCTCTGTCACCAATACAAGCAATATATATGTGCGTGCAAGCGAGCGAAATGAAAAATTTGATTATATATCCAAACACAAGAACTTTCTTAAAATATTTTATTTTAAAAAAAGAGAAAAAAAGCTATTTTCTGTCTTGCGTAGCTACCATTTGAAAAAGAACTTCATGTTTTAAAAGAAACACGTTGGAAAGTTTAATGTTAAAGGTTAGAACCTACCAGGCAGATTTTTCACAGATAGCAAAGTGAAAGGTGTGTGTGCTGTATGTGTGGTATGATCACCACTTGCTGTTTTTACAACTGTGAAAGAAAATCAATAATCCCTCAGCCCATGAGTACGCAGTATATGAAAAGCATACATCTTGCTCACAGCTAGCTGAGCTACTTACTCCCAGAGACTTGCGTGCCTCTGTAAAGGATTAACAGCTACACCTAGATTTTAAAGCTTGCACTGCTATCCTGCCTGAATTGCTTCAAACATTTCAGGCTTGCAAATCTCAACTAGTGAATTTAACCCAGGGGTGGGGGTGGGGGCTCTCTTCCAAACCATATTCCCTCTCCAGTAAAACGCCAAAATCCATTGCTTGGGCCAGTGTAGTATGTGACTAGCATAGTAATTGGCAAAGTCTACTCAGAAAAACTAACAAAGCTCAGCCTAGAAGCTATGCCTGATGTATGCAGTGATTTAGGGGTTGCAGGGGAGAATATAAATAAACGAGTAGAGCCCTCATCAAGTAGGATATGCAGAGTGTCCATTCACTTGCAATTTATTTGAGGGAAATTTTTGAATTGGAAAAAATGAGCTTTCAAAAAGTAGTTGAATGTATCATCTCAAAAATATTTCCCAGTGAATGGGGTCTGAGACAAAATGGTTGGCAAAAAAAGTGCAACAGGCCTGTATTTTCTCGAAATCTGTGGGGTTGGTTTTGAATTTGTTTTATTTGAATTGGAAAACAAAACAAAACTTGATACTGTCATTATGAAATCAGATTTTTCTTAATGATTTTAACAAGTAGCGATTTTTAAAATTTCTTAGTAAATCTGTTTTAAAACGCACATGTATGTTATTAGTAGGGAAAAAAATATGAATAAAGCCACTAGAAAAGTGCTTAAACTGTAGCAATGCCTTTGATTTGCCCCTAACTGCATAAAGATCATCCTGAACAACATAAAGAATGAATTTGTCTGTTTTCAGGGAGAATCTCTTATGTCTACCCCAAAGTGGCAGACTGATAAACATCTCTTTTGACATGAACAAAAAAATTTTTAAATCTTTTACAAGTATCACAATATTAACATGTCTACTACATAAAATATTAATAATAACCTACCAGGTTTTAATCTATAGGAGATTAATTTGAAGATATGCCAATTAGTTTGCAAAAAATACACACACACACACACACACAGATACATATATTTAGTAGCCTGAAAAAACAGGGTTAACAAAGTTGTAATTGCATTTATTTAACTAGTGAAATCACAGATAAATATACCAAAACACATTTAAGTCCAAGAATCAGCAAAGAAAATGGTGAATGAATAAACATAACGAACCCAAGAATATTGTGTTCCTGGATAACTACCTATCAGTTATTAACTGAGGTTTTCATTTCTCTCCCAGCCCCATTTTAAAAAAATCAATTATGGTTAGGATCAAAATACCCAATTATACATTTCCTAAACATTAACAGTTGTGAAATACTTAATTGGGCAGCAAATAAAGATTTTACAAACAGAAAAAAAAAAAAAAAATTTGTCATAACTGAATGTGGCAGCAAAATCGAAGGTATGTTTCTTTTGCTTTCAAGTGTTAATTAAGGAGCCTCCAATTCTATCAAAACTTTTTCAGAGCTAAATGAAGCGGTGTGAAATAAATTTGGTTGAAATCTTGTGGCTGTCAGACTTTGTTAGCAAGCTATTAATTATCTTTACCCCAGTTTCTTCTCTAGACTATATTGCCCAATGAAATAGAAACTCCAATTATGCTTAGCATCTCCTGCCTAGGGACACAAGACTCTAATGAACACTCCATCTCTCCAGATGAAAAATACAATTATCAACTTTAAACATGCACGTGCACAGCAGAGAGATTTGTCTGTGCTTTTCTTGGCCACATATTCTAAAGCTTCCTCCTCTATCTGGTTTAATTTGAACAATTTAAAACTCTACAAAGATCAATAGCAAAATCCAGGTCTTAATGGTTGAAAATAAAAGTTTCATCTTTCTTGCTGTCTGTTCCTTTATGCCAATGTTAATGTGAATATTAAATATTCAAATATGTCAATCTGGTCATTTAAACAATACTTGGTTTAGAGTTACCATTTCAGTTGATCCTAATTCCATCCCCCTCCTTTTAAGTGGTGAGCAATATAACAAAGAATGTGTGGAATTATAAGATCCAGAGTTAACTTAGACATACTTATAAAATATCTTAAAATAGTATTCAAACCACTTTATTAAAGCATTATACATAATTTTAAGTCAATTACAGACAGCCATAAATGAAGTCAACAAGGGGAATCATTTAGGTGAATTTTTCAAAATCTGAAATTTTTTCCCTCCCTCTTCCCTCACTACCCTTCCTCCCCACCACTCAACCCTCCCCCGCTTCCACCTTTTGCCCCAGAGGCCTTCACTGTTCTTCTCAACGGGAGGCTTTGTTGTAATTAAACCAAAGAAAAACTGGCCAGCAGCAGCCAACATCTGATTTGCTGCTCCTGAAAACAGCTTTCTGGTAGACTGTACCACCCCCCAGTGGGCAAAAACTCTACAGTGAATTTCTCAGCAATATTAATCCTCAAAACTGAATTTTCTCTTTGGAACATAAAAAAAAAAAAAAATGTCTTTTGCCTATTCCTAAAATTCCACAATTTCAAAAATTTACTAAAAAGTTAATAACAAATCAGTTTTTAACAAAGAGATTGTTTGTAAATGTCTGCAGTAAGAAAAGAAAACCTTTTTCTTCTTGAGAACCAAAATAGGTTTGTATACTTCAGAAATCATTTTTCAGTTTCAGAAGTTTACTTAAACATCACACTAAAAATAAACAGTTTTGAAAGCCATTTAGTATTGTATGTTTTATAGAGCAGTTTTCAAGATTGTAATTTGTCCACTGACTACTGACAAAAACTCAGACCAAACAGATTCTAAGGAGGAACAAATGAAATATAATTTAAGCAATAGCTAAATTTCATTGGTTTTGCATATGTATCATCACTTTCCTAGGAATACATTAAAATTTCTCTCCAGGTATTAGTGGGCTTATATAAGATGAGAAAGAAATTGTTCTCACTTGATGAGACAATGACAGCTTTTGTTCGTTAGTATTTCATGTTACCTGTGCACAAGTTACCTTGGCAACTTAGAAAAGAAAGCCTGAAGACCACATTTCGTTAAACATCATTTTTGAAATGTGCCACTGAAGTATGGATTGATCAGTTTTTGTGTTGTTCATTTTTTCAACTGGTTTAAATCAATAATACCCTACTGTGACATGAAAGAGCAATGTGTTTCATGATTGTAAGATGTTCTCACCAACTAGCACATTTCTTGGCAAACAGTAGACATGAACTATTACATGGAAACTTAATATCAGAAATTTAAATGACATCAACTAAATTGAATTAAAATATTAAAAAAAAAAAAAAGGGATTTCAGGCTTACATTGGGAAAATGTGATTTAACAAAAGTAAGCATGATGTTACACGACAGCACAAACTTAAAGTCCCCCCCGTCCCCCAAAACCTGCTCTCTAGTCATCAACTCCACCATCTCTTAAATTAATATCTTGTTCATTTTTACAAGTCTGGCTTTAATGAGATGAAAGAAAACAACATTCACTATAATGAAAGATAACATCCCAGTTTGCCTTTTTGTTCTAAGGATGCTTGATTTAACTTTACAAGCCAAAATAAATGAAGCCGAATTGTATTCATTTATCATAAACCTATTGGGGGGGAAAAAAAAAAAAAACTGGTAACATAAACAGAGAAAGTAAAAGTCCTTTGCCTTGGAACTTTTATTCTCTTTTCCATAAATGAAACAAAACCTTCTACTGGCTAGAAAATCCTGCATAAAACCAAGTCTGAGCAACCACACTTGCTTCTCTGCCTCTCAGCAAACCCTTCAGACTTCATGACTCTCAAGAGGAGAGCTAGAGGTCCTTCTGCTTGCCTGGCATTTAACAAAAGAATTGGAACTTTCCTGAAATCTGATGATCGTGGAAAATTTAACTACCAGACAGGCTGCTTAGAAAGCATTTTGCTGTCATTATCAACTCGCCTGATATACTCCAGTTTTTTAGTTTAACCATATATGAAGTTTGTTTCAAATGCCATTTTTTTTTTTTTTTTTGCAATGATTTAGCGTTCACAGGTTGATCATTTTGTTGAGTTTTCTGGCAGCAATTTATGCCTTAATAAATAAATTACTTTCCCAATAATCTAAAACTATGTTTGCATGAGTTCAAATTTACCTAGAAATATTTACAAACTTGGAAAATTTGATTAAGCATCTGTTTTTTTATCCAAATATTTTATTTAAATAATTAATTAACATGCATTAAAAGTTCTACATTCCATTCTGCTTTTAGATTTAACATTTTAAATAGTTACTAGCATTAAGAAACCATGTGAGGCAAATCATTAAAAATATACTAAAAATATCAAAATCCAAATTCAAGAACAAAAAAATTAGTGATGCTCAAACAAGCCAAATAAAAATTAATTTAAATCACACAATAGCAATGAAAGGATTTAGAAAATTGGAATTTAACTTTATCTTAATCTAAGTGATAGTGTTAAAACATGACAAATACCAGCTCATCTCAACCATTCTTACTTCCAAATTATTGTAGTAACAGATAATCATATAAATATATAGATGGCCTCAGTTTTTTGATTTTTACTTAAATACCACTTTGCCATTCAGACACAGTTTCTCAAGTTAAATTGGTTTTCCTAAAATATGTCAAAATGACAGCATACTATATTTTATACATTTTCTTAAACTATGGAAATAAATTGGAGACTTATCAAAGACTTGATGATTGCATTATAAATGTATCCAAAAATATTTTTAGAAAAGGATTAATAGAATGGTCCCTATAAAATTTTCAATTCAACTGAAAGGTGATTATGTTTTTCTTCCTTTTGCTACAGCTTTAAATACTATATACTTAAGTAATAATTCTAATAAAAAACGCTTAACTATCCATTAAATAATCAGGACTCCATTTATGCTTCCCCCATAGACAATATTTTTTCTTAAAGAAGATAGATTCTTTCTTGTTCAGAAGTAATGGCTTCTTTCAAGCCCATGCAGATATAAAGGCTCTGAATCTGACGTTGTGGAAACCTGGGCACAGTGTCTATACCAGTGGGGGTCATTTTTCTTTACATCAATCACAAGCAAATGTCTCTATATTCGTGATTGTAGAGAGCCGGCTTAGAGAGGGGGAATTCTAAGAAGGGGGGCAGGACCGCTTATTTTCCATGGACAGATCAATATAACTTCCAATATGCCAAACAAAAAATTTTTGCACTATTGTTTCAACTATAAAAGGGAAGAAGAAGAATATATAAAACAAATGAAGCATACATACATTGAACTGTTCTGAGCTTAAGAAAGTGGGTAGGGCCTATGAGGGGTGCTATATAGTCATTCCTGAAACAGTAACCTCTACAAAGAAAACTATTTTTATATTTCTGGCCTTTTATTTTCATGTAATTTTGGGAGAAGAGATTTACATTTCCCAAGAACTTAATTAGTTTTAAGGCATCCTGTTAATCCCACAATATCGCCACTGTTGTATTAATAGCAAATGTGAGTTTGCATATCAAACAGCAGAGGAGGTAGTTTCACAAATGTAAAACTGGAAGAATAAAATTATTATCTTTTCACACCAATGTAGACATTTTTTCCTTTATTTGAGTTAAAAATGTAAAAATCAATACATATTCATAGAGCCAAATTTAGTAAAATATTTATAGTTCAAATACAAGCTAAGAGACAGCTCTATTTTCTCTCTGGTTATGATTTTGATAATCACCTTGCCCACATTTAGTTAGATCTGACTCAGGGAATAATCAACAAATTTAAATCCCAATTCAGCAAATTCATCATCTTAGTTTTAGAGTATGTCCTACCTTATGGGAATTCCTGGAATCTGAGATATGCTTTACTATTAGTAGCATTTTAAGCAGGTTCTCAGTTGTTAATTCCATAATGGTTTTAAGTTAGTGTCTAAGGCAATTTTTAAAAAGTAATTATTTTCTATGCTTAACCATATTGTTTTATATATATATACATATTAATTTTCAACCTTAGAAAATATTTATTGCAGGTGCATTAAAAAGTTTTTTTGTAAATATAATTTCAAACAGTTTGGTTTTCCAGTTTCACACACTGAAAAGGCAGTTTTCAAGAAATATACTATTGAAATTCAACAAAAATGAAGAAAGTACTACAGGCATAACATTAAAACTTCATGTTAAACAATATATTATTTAAACCTTCCTCTGTGGGTACTTTGCACTATTCATTAGAGACTACTTTATCCATCTGTTAACTGTTATTTTTGTTTTAAGTTGCCAAAATAATAAGTATCTCTTTTTTAAAAGTTTCATCAATGTAGTTAGCATAAGTCCAAGGCAGCATTGATATCTAGTAGGAATCTAGAAGAAACTGAATTTTCAAAGGACCCCAAAACACAAATTTTGGCCTTGTATAACATATACTTTCAGTAGAATGTTTGAATTCTGGAACAGATGCTATCCATGTTGGATGCAAAGTAATTACTAGGGGAGAAGCAAATTGTAACTACTTTAGTCCTTAATTTCAGAATCAAATATTTCCTGATACCCAAATGTTCCCTGTGACAGAAAGCACCTGAGTGGGTGACCCTAAATAACAGATGCTGATCCTGTCTACCTCTCCCAACCCACGGAACAGTCTTCATGTGTATGACATGATGGCCAAAACAATCATCATGAAAATAACTGAGCTCTTTAGTCAAGTCATTAATTCTTCTTTCAGAAATGAAAAATATTCTATTAGAAATTGGAGTGTTCCTGTTTGAACGTAGAGAGAAATGCCTTATAAAGTTTTGATGTTTCCTAATAATTATTACAGGCAGGACTCCTGGTGTAGCACTGTAGGATCAACACTGGACTTTGAGCCACAAGGTCAACAGTTCAAACCCACTAGCTGCTCATCAGAAACCCTATACAGGGTCGCTATGAGTCAGAATCGACTCGACAGCACCTAACAACAACATTCCAAATACAGATAACTTAAATTCACTTGGCTAAAAGAAAATGCAAACAGTAGTCTCCTGAAAAACTAATGATCACTTGAATGTCTATGTTACCTTTTGTCCAGTTAGTTCCCAGGAAAACCTCTAAGGAGGAAGGTGATGGTATCCATCTTTTGCAATTGGGAGAAATGAGGCTATCTGTCAGAATCAGACAGGGCACTGAGAAAATCGAGAGAAATGCTTCTGAAGCTAACTCTTTTCAACCCTTTAAATTGCTGTATGCATGACTTTGTAAAACTACATTCATAAATGTCTAACAGCTACCATGGCAGCATTTCAATAAAAAATATTGCCATGTATTTCCTTACTTATTTGACATGCACATGTTCCCTTTTCTTTTTAAGCATTTTATCATTTTATATCTAGAATTTACAGTAAAGTTTTAAGGATGATCTGAATTTGAAAGCTGTTGAAGAGCTGCCTCTTGAATGAAGTTTTGCTTTTTTGTTTAATTCTAAGTGACCCTGACAATAAATAAAACAAATGATCTGTTTGGTGACAATCCCAACTCTGACTCCTACTGCATTTATATAGTAAAATGGGAAACATAAAAACAAAGGTCAACCTATCCTTTTCCACCAACAACTCTGATGAAACATGTGCCAGTTATAAAAAGAATTGAAATTAAATTGCTGGGAAATTTCTATAGTATATTCAAGTTCATTATTAATAGTTTACTAAAACCTTTTACTTTCACAGGAGATTCTCAAACTCTGTCCATATAAAAGAAGAGAACTATTAAGGAAATCTAGTATGCTTTTTTTCATGAAGAATATCTGAACTGAATTGTCTTTACCTGTTAAAAAGAATACCTGTTCTTGCATAACGTGACTGCACTAAGAATTCTAAGAAAGCAGCAAGAAGCAAAAGCTGGAAATAGCTATTTCACAACAGGTAATCATACCTCAGAATGTAGCTTCTACAAAGTTTTTACCTGGATAATCCTGGATGGGAATAAAGGTAGGCAGGGGTAACGTATTACTATACAGATCTTAGCATCATGAATGACTTTCTTCATGAGGATCTGAAGTTACTATCTCTGACCATATCGCACAGAAGATCCAATAAGAATTTCAAAGAGGGCAATTTCCACTAAGGGAATTAAGCTACATCCAAAAACTCTATCAGAAAGGAGAAAAAAAAAAAAAAAAAAAATTAGGAAGCCATGTGTCCTACATAGTAACGGGAAGCTGAATTGTTTCTGGCCCCCACTTTAATGAGCTTGCCCACCATGCTGAACTGCAGCTGGAATGTTCATTGTCAACAGTGAGCCTGATCTGGAGGTGTGTGCGGCATAAGATTACTGAAACACAGTGAAGAACATTTCTTCCAAGGAATAAACAAGAGTGTATAAGTCCCAGCCCCTCACCAGGAAAATAATATATTCGCACTGGATTTTCACCCACGCAAAATTTACTACATCGTTCGAAAAGGTAGGAAATATATTAAAGTATTTTATTTCCATGGCTGAAACTATAAAGATTAATTAATACCTAAAAGCACAAAAAAGATATTACACAGTGTTGTTGTTGTTTTTAAGTGCCATCGAGTGGGCTCGGTCTGATAGTGACCCTGTATAGGGTTTCCATGTGTCCTACAGTTCAAACAGCTATGCTGTCTGGCACACTAACCCACAGCACCACACCAGGACTCCATATTACACAACAGAACATTATAAATCTATCATTCTCAAGCCATGGAGAAAACTGAATCACATTCTAGCTTAGAACCTGTAATTGTGAAAATATGGTATGAGCTAAAATATGAAAAATTTATGGATAAAGCTTTTAAGCCATGCAGTATGAGTATATATATGTGTGTGTGTGTTGTTGTTGTTGTTGTTAAGTGCCATCAAGTTCATTCTGACTCATAGCAACCCTGTAAGCATTTCCAAGGAGCAGCTGGTTATTTGAACCACTGACCCTGTGGTTAGCATCCCAGTGCTTATCCTACAGCACCACACCAGGATTCCAAGTCCATATATATGGTGGTGATGGTGATACCAACTCATAGTGACCCTGCATAGGGTTTCCGAGGCTGTACATCTTTATGGGAGCAGAGAGCTTCATCTTTCTCCTGTGGAACGGCCATTAGTTTTGAACTGCTGACCTTGAAGTTAGCAGCCCAGCTCGTAACCACTATGCTACCAGAGTTCCATATATATACCATGTGTGTATGTGTGTAAACAGAAAAAGAAGGACTATTTCAGCATCAACTGCAAGTTTTCACTTAGATTATATTAGCTACAGTAGATAAAAAATAGATTCCTTCTAATGTTCTCTATAGAAATACATTTTTGAAGTTGTTTAATATTAATAATCAAAAGAAATAAAACTAATAACTCATGCAGATGACTGACTTTACTGGGATTCAGAATCTCAAGCAGTATTGTCACTATTCTTGAATAACGAGTAAGAAAATTGATTATTATTACATATTTCTTTATCTGTATTGTCTATTACATATTTCTTTAGCTGTGTTGTCTTTTACCTAACAAAAGGTAAACATAAAAATGTAGTTTCTAAGAACAGTATAATTATTATCTTTAAATGTAACAAATCATATTCCTATGAGTGCAAATTCATGTTGAGTATTAAGAAAATAAAAAGAAGTTTGATTAGTTTGGCCAGTAACTGGCTACAAAACTGATGTAACATATAATGAAAATGCTTTGGAAATCTCAACAAAACTTTATATTAAACATTTCACAATCCAATGAGTTCTGGACATGATACTTAATTTATATAGTAGAAACATTTGCAGTAATGAGATTATAGGATTATGTTCATTGTTAGTCAGCAGTACACCCTATGCAGCCAAAAATTGTTTAAAATCTAAAATATTTAAAAGTGATTATTGATGTTTTTAGTTCCCATGGCTGTTTGAAACACTGCTTCCAGTCTGCTAGCCTAATTGTTTTCTGTCTGTTTTTCATTTGTCCCATTTTAGAGGTCTGAAGTAACAGAAGCTACCTTATATAAAGAACTCAACACTGCTGACCATGATCAGTCCAGCCTGGAGCATTTTCCTCATGGGGACTAAAATTGGGCTGTTCCTTCAGATGGCACCTCTGTCAGTCATGGCTAAATCATGTCCGTCTGTGTGTCGCTGTGATGCAGGTTTCATATACTGCAATGATCGCTTTCTGACATCCATCCCAACTGGAATACCAGAGGATGCTACAACTCTCTACCTTCAGAACAACCAAATAAATAATGCTGGGATTCCCTCAGATTTGAAAAACTTGCAGAAAGTAGAAAGAATATACCTATACCACAACAGTTTAGATGAATTTCCTACCAATCTTCCAAAGTACGTAAAAGAATTACATTTGCAAGAAAATAACATAAGGACTATCACTTATGATTCACTTTCAAAAATTCCATACCTGGAAGAATTGCATTTAGATGATAACTCTGTCTCTGCAGTTAGTATTGAAGAGGGGGCATTCCGAAACAGCAACTATCTTCGGCTACTTTTCCTGTCCCGGAACCACCTCAGCACAATCCCCTGGGGTTTACCCAGGACTATAGAAGAGCTACGCTTGGATGATAATCGTATATCCACTATCTCATCCCCATCTCTTCAAGGTCTTACTAGCCTAAAACGCTTGGTTTTAGATGGAAACTTGTTAAACAACCATGGATTAGGTGACAGAGTTTTCTTCAACCTTGTCAACTTAACAGAATTGTCACTAGTGCGAAATTCCCTGACTGCTGCACCAGTAAACCTTCCAGGCACAAACCTGAGGAAGCTTTATCTTCAAGATAATCACATCAATCGGGTGCCCCCGAAGGCGTTTTCTTATCTAAGACAGCTGTATCGACTTGATATGTCCAATAATAACCTAAGTAATTTACCTCAGGGCATCTTTGATGATTTGGACAATATAACCCAACTGATTCTTCGCAACAATCCCTGGTATTGTGGGTGCAAAATGAAATGGGTACGTGACTGGTTACAATCACTACCTGTGAAGGTCAACGTGCGTGGGCTCATGTGCCAAGCCCCAGAAAAAGTCCGGGGGATGGCTATCAAGGACCTTAATGCGGAACTCTTTGATTGCAAGGACAGTGGGGCTGTAAGCACCATTCAAATAATCACGGTAATACCCAACACAGGTTATCCTGCTCAAGGACAGTGGCCGGCACCAGTGACCAAACAGCCAGATGTTAAGAACCCCAAGCTCACTAAGGATCAGCGAACCACAGGGAGTCCAGCAAGAAAAACAATTACAATTACTGTGAAATCTGTCACCTCTGAGACAGTTCATATCTCTTGGAAACTTGTCCTACCCATGACTGCTTTAAGACTCAGTTGGCTCAAACTGGGTCACAGTCCAGCATTTGGATCTATAACAGAGACAATAGTAACAGGGGATCGCAGTGAATACTTGATCACAGCCCTGGAGCCTGATTCACCCTATCGAGTATGCATGGTTCCCATGGAAACCAGTAATCTCTATCTATTTGATGAAACTCCTGTTTGTATTGAGACCGAAACTGCTCCCCTTCGAATGTATAACCCTACGACCACCCTCAATCGAGAACAAGAGAAAGAACCTTACAAAAACCCCAATTTACCTTTGGCTGCCATCATTGGTGGGGCAGTGGCTCTGGTGACCATTGCCTTACTTGCTTTAGTGTGCTGGTATGTTCATAGGAATGGATCACTTTTCTCAAGGAACTGTGCATACAGTAAAGGGAGAAGGAGAAAAGATGACTATGCGGAAGCCGGCACTAAGAAAGACAACTCTATCCTGGAAATCAGGGAGACTTCATTTCAGATGCTACCAATAAGCAATGAACCAATCTCAAAGGAGGAGTTTGTAATACACACCATATTTCCTCCTAATGGAATGAACCTCTACAAAAACAATCACAGTGAAAGCAGTAGTAACCGAAGCTACAGAGACAGTGGTATTCCAGATTCAGACCACTCACACTCATGATGCTGAAGACTCACAGCAGACTGTGTTTTAGTTTTTATAAACCTGAGGGAGGTGATGGTAAGATCCCTGCAAACACTGCAAAACACTGGTAAAAGAGACTGAAAAAAAGCAATGTACTGTACATTTGCCATCTAATTTATATTTAAGAACTTTTTATTAAAAGTTTCAAATTTCAGGTTACTGCTGCGATTGTAGTAGTGGAGAGGCCTGAAAACAATTCTATATTTTAGTATTTTTTAGTAATTTGTACTGTATTTTCCTTGCAAATATTGAAGTTACAAACTATTTACTTTTGTGTTCTACTGAGTAAGATGACTTGTTGACTGTGAAAGTGAATTTTCTTGCTGTGTTGAACAATCAGGACTGCATTCACTGAGATCCTTGTAGTATAAGCACAGGCCATTTTTCACTTTGGTATTAATGAAATGTAAAAACACAAAACAATAAAACAGCTGAATGAGAAAAATTGAATTTCAAAGTTATGAAATAATGATAAAATTGTATTATCCCAATGGTATTCAAGAAATCAAACTCTGTGAAGTAATGGGCAATCGCTAACTTGCGGCCTATCTCTTTTTGCTCTAGGCAAATTAAATATCTTTAAAAAGTAAGCATAGCTTCTGAGCTGACTATATACCAGCTGGCATAAAAGAATGTGAAGTCTGTTAGGACCCTTGTTAACAAAGCTCTGAGAATAACGGACTTCACAAAAACAATAATTTAAGTGTGCTTCCAAGTTCAACAGAAAAAATGTATACTTAGGAAAACTAAACACCTTGACTTGCATAGTGTAATGAACACAAATACCAGAAATGCATTTGGGTTTTACTGTTACCGTCTGAGTTTTAAAAAATGCGTCCTAAATACATCATCACTAGTGTATACAATGATTTTTTTCATAGAGGATATCAAAAAGGAGAGTTATACATATTAAAAAGGTTGTGTAACCATGAACAATTTTCTTGAACATCCAGAGAAACTTGTACTTGAAATAGGTGAGAATTAAAAAAAAAAAAAAAAATACTAGCAATCAAATGTAGATCTGGTATATGTGAAATGTTTCCACATTGTACATAAATTTTCTATTTATTTTCACATGATCAAGAATACAGCCCATTACTGTCACAGGTTCCCAAATAATACATAATGAACTTGAAATGTAACATTTCTTTCAGGCTTCCAACTGAATTGTGAGCTATTAATTGTTTAAAAACCACATCACTTTTCTGTTGCCATAATATATATATATATTTTTTTCCAACAAAAAACCAAAGTGCATTGTACGCCCTTTGGCCAGTCTTGTATGTGCCTTGATCCAATGCTACATGTATTCAGCTTTTAAAACTCGATAAATTTTTCATACTTCCTTAACTATGAAAAATTATGGTCTTATTGCTGAATAAAACTTCAAAAAAAAAAAAAAAAGTACAGAAAAATTGTGCTTGCTTTTTCGGGATTATGTTACTATCACTAAAGTAGCAAACTTCCCAGCACATTAGTCCTAAACACCCCATGTATTTTTCTAGGCATAAAAATAAAAGTTGGATACAAATAAAAAATAGCAATATTTTGAGGTTGACTATCATTTACTTCCAAGAGTTCTGTGTTTCATGCATAAATTAATTTTTCTAAAACGTTTCTCTGGAGTACTTAAATTTCAATTATTAAGTCTATAGAGAAAAAACTTAATAAGTGGCTTCATGATTCTTCCTTATATGTGTTGCCATGGTCCTGACTAAAATTTTGTAAGGTGATCTTTGAAAAGCTAACATTGAAAAAATATCTGTGGGGTACTTTGAGTTGTCCTCAGAGGATTTGGAATCTCAGATCTACTACTTACTAGAAATGTACGTAAAAACAAACCACCTAACAACCCCCTTAGTTTAGTGTATCTGTAACATTTGGGGATTAAATTAGTTTAGTATATCTGTAAAATGGGGGGATTAAAATGACCCACCTCACAAGATTGTTGTGAGGAATAAAAGAGATGATATGCATGAAAATTGTATTCTACGAAATATGTTAGCCATGTCTCCTCGGAGGTTTGTTCAATGACATTGCTATACAACTCTACCGAGAAAGTGATACCTACAACTGACTATAAAACTTCATTTATGGTTCATGTGCCATCTTCAAATTGTTTATCAACACTTTCTCTTTTTGACTTTCTTTTATGGAGCGCTGTTTCCTAAAAATAACATTAAGACAAATTGATTACTACTAAATTTAAGGGATGTTTTCTGAAGGAAGTTTGGACTTTGCTTTTAGAAATTTAGAACACTTCAGCTGTGTTTCTATCAGAGGTCAGAGAAAGAGTTGGATGATTTCATCAATTGCTTACCAAACTGTGACTTTATACAATGCGATACGCCAAGAAATTATATTGCTGGACTGTGAACCACAGGGTGGGTGGTTCAAACCCACCAGCTGCTCCTCGGACACCCTACATGGAGTTGCTATGAGTAGGAATCGACTCAAAGGCACTTAACAACAACATTTTCCAATTAGTAGACTTTTCTTGAGCACACACACACACAATTAGATTTGTTCATCCACATGCTTTTGATTATCCTTACATGGGATAAATCTACCACCAAAAACACAGAAGTAAAAGTTTATTCTTTATCTAGGCTTGCTATGAAATCCAAATGTTTTTGTGAGGAACTATACAAGGAGATTTCAAAAAAGTATTTTATTTTTTTACTTAAGTTTTCCATGAACTTTCTGAAAACCTTTCATATATGTATGTGTGTGCTTAATGTACATACATACATACATATATGAGAGAGAGAACCCTGGTGGCACTTCAGGATAAGCACAGGACTGCTAATCGCAAAGTGGTGGTTAAATCCTACCAGCTGTTCTGTGGGAGAAAGATGAGGCTGTATATACAGTTGACTCGTGAACAACAGAGGTTTGAACTGCACTGCTCCACTTCTACATGGATTTTTGTGTTTTACAACACCATGTAATGGTGATCGTTTACATGGCATCAACTCGTCTCTCCAGTATATTTCAGATCACAGTAAAAAGCAATCTCTCTCAGGTTACACATTTTGCATCATGGTTAGTACAATACCTTTAGCCTACAGTGCTGCTATTGATGCTGACAATGCTCCCAAGAAGCAAAAAAAAAGTCCCAACAGTATAAGAACAAGCTGAAATGCATTTTTGGTATATACTACAGACAGAAATCTGCAGCTGAAGTTGCCCACTATTTCAAAATTTAAGAATTTAAGAATCCATTGCTGCAGGTAGGCCAGCAGGCATGATTAATCTTTTGGAAATATCTTCTTATCTAATTTCCAAAACCAAATCCTTTGCCAGTAAGTCAATTCTAAGTAGCCTTGTAAAACTGTATGGAGCAGTTTTACTTTGTCAGAAAATACAGCTTTTATGTGGGTGCAGTATATAATACATGTAACAGATGGAATAAGTTATCTATTGATGTTATCAATAAGGCTTCAGTCAGGTCAACAGTATGCTATTAATACTAATGATCTGGGAGTGTCAAAGTCATACTCAGATTTTTGAGTGTGCGGAGGTCAACACATTGAACCCCCGAACTGTTCAGGGTTAACTATATACTTACATATGTGGGAGCCCTAGTGTGGTGCAGTGTATATATACACACACACAATGCTTCTCTCTCTCTCTGTCTATATATATATATTTGTTGTTGTTGTGTGCCATGGAGTCAATTCTGACTCATAGCGACCCTGTACAGGGTTTCCGAGACTGTAAATCTTTACGAGAGCAGAAAGCCTCATCTTTCTCCTGCGGAACAGCTAGTAGTTTCGAACTGCTGACCTTGCAGTTCGCAGCCCAATTCGTAACCACTATGCTACCAGATATATATACACATACCCTTAAGTATCTTGTTATACCCTCAACTCACCAGCCACTCCTCAGAAATCCTATAAATGGTCACCATGAGTCAGAACCAACTCGACCGCACTTAACAACAACAACTTGTTAAGTTTCACTGAGTTGATTCCAACTCAGTGTGACCCTCTATAGGGATTCCATGGAGCAGCTGGTGGAATTGAACCACCGAGCTTATAATATGTAATCCAGTACTTGGTGCGCACATTCTCTCTGTATGTATGTATGTATGTATGTATGTATGTATGTATGTATGTATGTATATATATATTTATTTATTTATTTATTTATTTATTTA